AAGCAGCTTTTACCGAGAAATTGTTATTACCAGTTATACTTATTGTTACTAGTTACGGGGAATATCAAAGGGGAGTATACCTCCAGTATATTTGTCACAGTGGAGGAAGTTGCTTTGATTGGTGTCCCGACTGTGTTGCCATGGTGATAGGCTGCGTATTTGAAGGTTAATTCGCATTGTTTGGCGTACCACTGGTAGTAAGGGTTGCATATACATTTTGCAATAGTAGTAAATGCCTTCATTGGGGACATATCCTAACAAATTCTTTGTATGTGACGGTCACCTAGGTAACTCAGGTCAAGTGCGTGACCCTTTGAGTGCGCCCTCTAGTGTTATAATTCAAGTATAGTGTATTTTGACTAATCTGTCATTTGTTATTAAACCGGTTGATTGATACATGCCACTTGTCTTCACTGTGTTGTATGCATTGCATGGTACCGAAGTCACCTGCGACGGTAGACCTGTCAGCCCTAGGATTATTATTTGTTCTCCTCCCATTTAAAGTCCCTATTAGCCGGTACTGGGAAGTGAGAAGGTCACACAAGGTAGCAATAAAATGGCCATACAGTAAGAGGCACAACGCATAGAACATTCATTCAAATTCAAATATTTAATAGTGATTAACTCAAGAGCTGAACATTACCTACACACATAATGTGCACGTATGCCTTCACATGACATAGCAACTAAGACCTACCACATATTCGAAATAATGCGCTTGCTGATTGGATAGGATGACATGATTAATATTAATTCGATAACGATGATGTAACACTTGATTTTTGGATTGGTCAATTTGAATTCTAACATTCATTTTGATTCATAAAAATGCATATTTACAAAACTTTTTTTAATATTTTCATAATGCTCGTATTTTGTAAGCCACTGAATCGAATCATGATCAATGATAATGAAACAAAAAAATTGGAACATTCTAATATTCAATTCAATTCAAGTCGCGTGCCTGTTATTGACGCTGTATTTCATATTACGTTAGTGTTTGTAAAACAAAACAAAGCGTGTTAACTCATTTGGTAGATGGGGTCTGTTTGGCGAAATTGGCGCGTGCCCTTTTCTGTTTATTTGTATTTATTTATTTAATTTTTAATTTGTATTTTGTTGTTATTTTTATGTGATGTTATTTTTCCTACCAACAAACAGCCAATTACAACTGCTCGTAAACACACCCATTTTTTACAGATTAAATCCCGACATAGATAAGAATATTACAATTTCCTCGATAATATTTCTTGTACATATTGTATATTTCTACTGATGTGGTTGCCTTTGGTTAGAAAATACAGCCATTTGACTTATGACTGATACCTATTCCTTTGCCCTTTGAACGGAGGGGGTGGTCCTGGGCGTTGTTTTTGCGAAGCTCCGACAGAACCGTTCATCAATTTTAGACAGAATATTGCTACAAAGAGAAAATAATAATCATGTATGGTGTTTCAGTTATGGCTGGGGTTCAATTGAGGAGTAAATCTGTGTTAAATCTACCAATGTAAATAAATATTATGTATTTATCAACCTAGCCCCTGAATT